GCATTCATGCGATTGGCTTGTTTTCTCGGTGGCTTTATTATTGCTTTGTTGTTTTAATGAAATTTTTGCGGTAAAAATTATCAGAAAAATGTCAAAAAAATATGGGGGGGATGAAAATGGGTTCATAGTTTACACAACCTAAACAATGTCACTTCCCTTCGAATTTTATGCCATAATCTTCAAATGTTATCTCTTTGCAGACTCGTGTCTTCTTCCACTTCAACTTGGCAGCACATCAATGGCAAAACTTCTCGCCGTCTTCCTTGTGGCATCACTTGCCATTGTCCATGCAAGTAAGTAAAGAATCCTCCCTCAAATCTGTTGAATAAGTATATCACATTATGATAATCATTATGGTATAATTCATATAACAAGTATTAGATATATATAGCACATTATAATAATTATCATTACAGTATAATGTATATATATATCAAATCATAGTAGTTATCATAGTATAGCAAATAAGTGTGATCTGTGTTGGACAATACAGAGTTTCCTATTACTCAAAAGAATTTCAAGAAAGGTTTTCGTTCTTAAAGCACAACCTTTCTCTAACACACAGGCGTTGTGACACAGTGCTACACGTGTATGGGATACGACTCCTCTCTTCCTTACAACAATCTAACCAACAATCCGTACTGCGTGTCGGAGTCCTTCGAGGCCTCAAAGGTGCCGAAGCGAGACTCTCCAAGCGGTTTTTGTGCGGCTGAAGCTGTAAGGGCGGGTGAGTTCCTTCGCTTTTCCGTTTCGATGTTTCCTTTGCATGCTGGGACTCGTTCAGCATCTCATGGCTATTAATGAATATACATGGACACAGGAACACATACAAACCATGCACGCACACGCACGCTCGCACGCACGCGCACTCTTTTTCTTCTAGTTCTTTAGTTCTTAAAATCTTAATTTATTGATTCATCTTTGATTTTTCTTTCCAAAGAAAACGTTGGCGAATGGACGGCGCGCGGTGGAATTCAAGTACTGTCATCACGAGACAATTACATATACGATGCAAGTTACGTATGCAAAGGAAACCTGTGCAACGACAAACCCATCAGCTCAGCAGGCACGCCGGTCCACTTGCTGCCTCTCCTGCTGATCCCCGTCGCCATGTCGCGTCTCCTGGCTTGAGAAGGGAGGAAGGCAGGAAGGACTCCAGCTGGTTTGAGAAGAAAGGAGGGACTCCAGCTGGCTCAGCTGGCACTCCGCTCCTTCCGCTGCCTTCCCTGCTTATTCACCCGCCTCTGTCTACTATCTCCCGATTCATCTTCATTTCTCTTCATTTTCTCTTCCTTCTCTTCTCCGCTCTGTCTTCCCTTTTTCTCTGTCTAGCTCCGTTTTCAACTCTTTTTGTTCTTCCTCCTCGCCATTCTCTTTTCTCTATTCTCCATCCCTTCCCTTCATTTCCTTTTTCTAATTTTGATGATTCGAGTTCATTAGTGTGCAGTTTCAAATTTGATATGGGATTTATTAAATACATAATTATCATCAGTTGAAACGTGATTCTTCCCTTCAAAACCCCAAATTTCCATAATATCTGATTTGTAAAAGACTTGTATGTACATGAGCTGATAGAAATTAAAGTATTTTGCAAGAGTGTCAGTATTTTTCGTTATGTCTTTGATTTGTTACCGGTTCGTTTATGTATTGTCGAAAAAATGTTTTACAAAAATGAAGTATATAGCAATAGAAATTTTGCTTTTAAATACTAATATTGTATACTAAGCTTCTATAAATACATAATCAAATTACAAATTGATGTTTTCATTTATCAACTAGAAGCACTCAGTGAGCTTATACTTCCGCAATGGCAATAAAAGTCACTGATGTAATAGAAATATTGAGACGAAGTATTACACTAAAATCACCTCTTTCTCAAGTACACTGGTGACGTCCGTGTTTCCCTTTCTCGTGATGCTAATGAATACTTTCAACAAATAGAACTCAGGGATCTCTGGTAGCGGCTCTTAATACATTTAGCAATGAGGCAAAGCTCATGGGCTTGTAGGTCTCCTGGACTAAGACCAAGATCTAGGATTATGGGGGCCTGTTAGGAGAACCTGTTCAGTCGATACGTGCTTCTGGTGAGGACACTGAAGTCAGAGCTTTATATACCTTGGTAGTGCAGTTCATGTCTCTGGGCTGTCAGACCAGGAAGTCCGTAGACGGATTGGCCTGGCAGCAGGAGCCATGGAGGTGCCGGTACATATGCAGAAGGATTAAGTTACAGGTCTTTAAAGCCTTGATACTGCTGTTTTTGCTCTGGAAGCGAAACCTGGACTCTATCTAGTGCCTTTGAGTCACGACTCGATGCCTTTTCTAACCATTCCCTACGCCTGATCATCATAGTTCTTGAATATATGCAAAAACTACGATGTAATTCCCAAATTTCTCTACTTTCGTGTTCACAATCCTGTATTTGAAGGCACCCAAATATATCGCTCCTGGTGTTTTGTCCTCCTAGACAGAGAAATCTCCAACCAAAAGAAAAAAGAAACTG